ACCAGATTTAGAAAAACATTTTAAACCACTGTTGCTTATAATGCTCCATTTATCCCACAGCCCCCCATATGCATTTACTAGGCTATATTGTAATTGCTGATTTATTTGACTGGCTCTTCCACTGGACTTAAAGTGCTTAAGGACAGAAATGAAACAGTGACTATCTTGGCTGTATCCCCAGGACCTAACACAGTGCCCGACACTGCACTTAGCAGGCCCTAAATAAGTATTTACTGTATAAAGTATGAATCTGTCTTGTATAGAATACCAGACTTCACATCTCTTTAAAAATATATAGTCTGTGGTCAAACAAAAAACAAGAGATGCAAGAATTGTTCTCTCTTAAAAATATATATTATATTGTGTACAGTATATTTTAATTTTCAAAAGGAAACCTACCTTAAATGCATAGTTACCTCAACTCCATTTTGGAAATAAGTAATGTATATAATTATGAATAATTTTTTTAAATTGCATATGTTGCTTTCAGAGAAGAATAAAAGAGGATAACATTTCTGGCCTAAAAATTATGTGTATCACACTAAAACATACTATACTCACTTCAAAGATGTCCAAATACATTCAAAGTTAGTCATAAAAACTAATTTTTAAAAACATTTTCTTTTAAACCAATGAAATTCAATAGAAACTATTTTTTCCCCAAGGATTCAATAAATCAAACACTCTGTCTTATCAAACTGATTTATGTTGGTAGATACCACCTAAATCATTCTTTATACCAAGCTGTTTAAAATAGGCCCCTCATAAGAAAGTAAATGTAAGTAGATTTTTAAGATCAATGGGTAGAGTCAGAGCCTTTGTCTGCATCTTCCTACTCTACCACACACATTAATGGAACTCAAATTATAATAGTAAATGTTATTTTAACAGAAGAGCTGACTTATTAACCACTTCTGTCAAAGCACCATATATGGACTCCCATGGCCATGCTACTGATTTAAGACACAAGGTGGAGAGCCAAAAGGCTCTCCCACATGGAAAAAAGGGAAAATATCATTACAGCTCTCTTAACATTGAGGGCTTGTTTCAAGCCTCCTCTTAAAAAAGGAAAAAAATTACTTGGTAACAGCTTTATTATCTGAAGACAAAACCAAGGCTTAAAATTCACTTAAGAGCTCACTCTTGTGTTCCATCAGTATTTTATTCTTCTGTGGCCACAACTTTTAAGAAGCAAAGTGCTAACAATGAATCAAAAGGCAACTTTCACATATGCTGAAACTATTAAATTAACAAGTTGTTTTTCATAGAACTGCACAGAAATTATTTTGAGAGTTCTTACTATATGTCTAATAAACTTTAGTGTCATATTGAAAGTACAAATATTTTTACAGTAGTTTTTTAAAAGAGAAACAATGACAAGTTAGCAAATCAAAGAGGAATCTACGTTTTCGTGGATTTTATCTGGAGATGTTTTCTACAATGTTAAAATGGTCACATCTAAGACATAGCATTCTTTGGTTCCTTGCTCTAAATGATAAAGATTTTCTTCATATATATTTCCGCATCTGAGAGCAAAGGAAAAGAACACCACTAAACCAAAGTAAAATGCTAAAATACAAAGAATCTAAAAATTTTAAAAGCAACTATATCTTTATTTGAAATTTTCTCAGCAACTTTATGAACAACATGAACATGACTTCCTGCATAAAGTAATGGCATTAAGATGAAGTATTCTAAAAAGATAATGATATAAAGACTCTGAAATGCTAAATTCTCACTTCTATATAGAAATGGTCTCTTGTATAGAACCAATAAGCTATAAACATGTTATAAAATGTTCTTAGGTTATTGGTTTCTGATTTGTGTAGGATGGATTTTGACAAGAAAGAAGAATAAACAGCATAAATAAATTCAACTCTGGTGTCAAAAATGTTGTATTTGGCCAAACCCAGTTTTAGTATCTTGTAACCACTAAGTAGAAAGTCAAGTTTCATTTCCATTTTAAGTTTCTCCTCAGATACAGAGGTTAAGATATGCATTCTAGAATAATAAAGAAGGGCCTGATCTCTTTATAGAGATTTTCAAAAGGGGTAACAAAGATCTAGAAATATCATCATAACTGAAATGAAGGAAAACATATGCTGGAAAAAGAGTAAGTTTTGATAAATAGGGTAGCCATTAGCTTGTCCCACCCTGAACTAAAATTTTTTTATTACTTCAAGTCAATAATAAAATTACATAAAATAGGTGTTTAGAGTGTTTCAAGTAAACAGATCCATAATTTCTAATAAAAAAGAAAACCTATTAAAATACTCCAATACATACTACACCCTCCAATGGGCAAGCATCCTGGAAAAATATAAAAAGATTTTGTTGGATTTTCTGCTCAGTTAAATCAGCCCTATAGCTAATGAAATGATGGCTCTAAAAGCCTCATGAAAGTTCATACTATTTTAATCATTTGTCTTAGTATCTGAGTTAGAAGAAGCAAAGATATTTTTTAATAATGTAGATCTTACAGAAGAGTAATATAATAAAACTATGATCTGTTTATCTTTCCTTTCTTGAAAAACAAAGTGACAAGATTCTTTTTTAACGTAGAAAAGAAAAAAGATAAACAGAGTAAGTCACATGTAAAGATATATAATTAAAAGATAAAGTATCCTTTACTTCATGAGCTGCAAATGCTCATTTGATTTAATATTTTAAATCAAAACTTAAAAATTACGGTTTCTTAGTGAGAAATGTGACAGAAAAGCAGTATGTACATTAAGTTTTTTAGGAAAACAATTTACATTATCACCTGGTAATATTTAGTATTACTGGTCTCACGAGGCTATGTGGTCAGTACACAGAAATATAAACACCCTTAGAATAAATTTAGAGTCTGCCTTATTCTATATGGCTAATGTTTCAGCCCTTAAAGATAAAATAGAAGAAAAGACTAGATTAAAAATATTCCACAATGGTAGGATTATCAATTAAAGTTTTCTCCAACTTAAAAATTACTTACAGACTACAAAACATATATATAATACATAAGTCTTAAAACATGTATGAAAATGTACATTTCCCAAAATACCTCAAAGAATTTTTAAATACATACTCTAGGAAAAACTAATAAAGCTAAGACTACTTGAGGTCTTGAACTCATGACTACTAGGCTGAGACTAGCAATTAAAAGACAACAGTGACATCTAGCGGGCCTTTTAAATACATACCACATACATCTTGGACCAAAACATTTTATCACTAGTGTGTCACGTAGTTCAATGTGCCTGAGGAATTATACGACAAATCTAGTTTTAAACCAAAACAAGCCGACTGCTCAAAAGGTTTCTCAATATGAGTGACCAAATTATGTGGTAAATTCAAAATGTTTAACAACTAATTTATAAGAAGTCGGTATCTCAAGTTTTTAGGTACTAAATACTGATTAAATGTATCAGATAAATGACTAAGAGAAAGGCTAGCAAAAGACCCAATATGATTATTATAATAAAATAAATTTAAAAAATTCTAAATGCAAAAGCACTGGGTGAATGAATAAACTTAGAAAAATTAATAGCTGATCGATTTCTGAATTTATTCAAACATAGCATGTATATTAACCAGTATGTTCTGTCAGACAAAATAAGAAACTTTTTTAAACTAAAAGAAAAATGCCTTATTTATGACAATTTTTCAAAAACAACTTAGTTTTCAAGAAAATTTAAAGAAACATTCTTTAAAAATAAAGGAAGATAACTGTCTGGAACAAGACCAGGTAGTCATCTCAAACAACTGATCAACTTCAAAGAAGGTCAAAAAAAGCCAACAAACAAAACATGTCCTTACTCATTTGTCAATATATAAGCAAATTTCACAAGAGTGCAGTGCTGCATATAATGAGAAAACAATGAAAGTATATGTGATTTTTATTATGTAATTTCTTACTAACTCAGGGAAGAAATATAAATGTAGAGACAGAATCTCAACATAAACATAAGGCAAAGAAGAATCCAGGACACAAATTAACTGGAAGTCTTTTGAAGACCATAGGGGTGCTTCCAGGATCTTTCAGAACCAACTAATTTAAAAGATTTTTCATTATTATTTGAACTCAATAATTTTCTGTCAAGAAAAAATGCTAAAGCCAGGACTTCACCTGACAAGTATACAATTCAAAATCATTGAAAATACATCTGGGATGTAAATATTTTGGGACTAATAAAACTCAGTTCACAAAAGCATTGTCCTAATAGCTTTAAAATGTTATACAGAGGATACATTGTGGTATATTCAAACAGTGTACTACAATTTAGGAATAAAAAGGAATGAAGACTAATAAATGCCACAACATGGATGAATCTTGAGAAAATCAGGCTGCATGAAAGACACCTCGATAAAAGTTACACTTCGCATACTTCCATTTATGTGACATTCTAGAATGGGCAACATTTATCTATGGAATGAATAAAAAAATAAGCAAAATCAGATTACCTCTGAGGGTAGGATGGAGATAGAGATCGGGAAGGGATATAAAGGGATTTTTCTGGGATAATACACAGATGGATGCATTTGTCAAAATGCTCCAAATAATACACTTAAGATTTATGCAAAATTCATATCAATTTTAACTTAAAAAATGAACCTTAAACAAATACTAGTAAGTCCAGTTATTATATGTCATACTGAAGTAGTTGGGCAACTTATTTGAAATGCATATAAAAATTATATGGTTGATGGACAGATTATAATAAAGCAAATATATCAAAACATTAACAATTGTAGAATCTAGGAAGTAAGGATATTAGGGTTCACTATACAATTCTTTCAGCTTTTCTGTAATTTCCATAATACAATATTGGGGGAAAGAAACAATTCAATCAGAATTCAAAAGAAAATTATTTAAAAATTTGAAATGTTTTCTTAAATATTAACAATTTTCCTTTTATATATTAAAATTTTAATCTGCCTAACCTAATCTCAAATATGACTATCCTTTAAATAGCAAGAGTTATAAAACAACATACTTTTAAAAATTGGAAAGACATACCCGAATTTCTTGAAGGTTGTGAAAATTATTTCCTACTCTGACTGAGATCTTGCTCGGTGTATAGCTTTCATCAGATTTGTAGTCAGCATAAATACATAATGTCTTCACTGTTGTTTTTCTCCTAAAAGCAATATAGTAAAAACAACACATCCTTTAGAATGTTAAAAGATTGCATCCAAAACATCTGCTTTTAAAAATCACAGGTTTGCTAGAACAAGTACCTGAATCAACAATTTCCATTTCCTTTCATTTTAACAATGATGAATATGAACATGAAGAACATGTAAAAATATAGATGCTTTTATTTTAAAAGACATCTCCTATTCAGAACATGGTCAAGAACCAGATGTGAGCAAAGAAGGAACAGTTAAGCCAAAGTACGTAACTTAGAGTACAAAGAGTATTAAGGACTTGAGGCCTCTTCATTTGTAATTTAAACAAAGAAATTATTCTAACAAGCTTGGTTTTTTCTTTACCAGTTAATGAATTAATTTCCTGTGTTAAAACTTGAAAATAACTAGCTAAGTGTAAAATTAAGTCCAGCAAAGAGAAAAACAAGGCACCTTACTTAATGCAAGAAATAAAATTGTTTTTAAAGACAAGCAAAGACTATATAAAAGAAAATTAATGTCAGAAAAAAATGCCAGTGGCCAAAAAACATGAGAATATGCTCAATCTCTAATAATCAAAGAAATAGACATTATATATTATATATATAATAAATTACATATATTATATAAATTGAATAATTACATTAAAACATTAGTTTTATCATACTGGAAAATGTTAAAAGAACTGGTAATATCCAATTTGATTAGGAAAAGGTTTTTTCATGGTCAGTTATTAAATATATACAGACTTTAATGAATGATTTCAACTTCTAAGAATGCATTAAAAGACAATAACACAACTACTCAAAAATGAATGCAGAAAAATATTTACTGTCCTGTGGTTAGATTACTGAAAAATTATAAACAACCTAAATATCCATCTCAATAGGGAATCTGTTAAATAGATTATAATATATCCACTCAGTGAAATACTATACAACCGTATAAAATAATCATACAGATATTACATAGTCAAAGCAGGAAAAAAGCACATTGTAAAACAGTATATATAGGACTGCATTTTAGGGAAAAAAATGTTAAGGCACATAAAACCTATATATATATAATTATATATATAATAAATTATATTACATATAAATTATATATAACATAAATTAATTACATATATTACATATAAATTATATATATTATAATATATAAATATAATATATGTATGAAAAAGACCTAGAAAGAATCATACAAAAATAGCAGAAGTGACTATTTTGGTGGGGTGTAACTATGGGAGATCTTTATTTTCTCCTTTATGATTTCCATATTTTCTGAATAATTTTTTACAATAGGCATGTATTATTTTAGTCATTAGAAAAAATTAGACAATTTTGAACATCAACCAAAAAAAACCATTAAGAAGTCTATTTAAACATACTTTAAAAGTTAAGTTCCGGTATAAACTGGCACTAACTTAAAAACAATGAGCTCCTTGAACAGAAGTAGTCTGTGTCAAAAGTCAGCCTATAAAACAGCAGGGGACCTGTAGCTCTCAGTGAGCGGAGGGAACTTCTGTAGCCCAAGCTATTCATCAGAAAGGAACAGGGAAAGTTAAGGACTTTCCCTCAAATAATAAAGACAACACAAGACATAAAACACTAAATACACAGGAACTGCTGATTTTTCAAAAGATTCCAGAGGTACCAAATTGACATCTTTATCTTTCTGCTGGGCCAGGAGGGAGACCTGAGAGGAAGCAAGGGAAAAAGGAAGAATTTTGAAGGACATACAAAAGATTTCTTCCCTGGTAAGCTATAAGCAGGTAGTTTAAGGTCTTTCTTATGGAGAGACCCAAGATACAGAATTCACTCTTAAGGACTTTTTTTTTTTTAACAAAAGAAGATCTAAAGGATAAAGCTTTTTGCTCAGAACAACTTCGAAATTCAGAATAACTTTGTTACTGGAACATATAAGATAATCAGGGTGAAGTTAGAAAGGCAGAGAGTAACATCAATGACTGTAAGAACAGCAAGAGTGGTGAACAGCAAGTGAATACTCCGTGTCTGACTCAATAATGCTTTATATGTATTATTGCATTTACTCCTCAACGCTGTGGTGTAGAAACTACTATCATTTCCATTTTACTGATAAAAAAACACTGACACTTAATAACTGGCTTAAGGTTAAAAAGCTAGTAGGTGGGCACAGAGTTCAACCATGTGTCTGCCTCACATGATCATAGCTACTATCACCTTCCTATTAATTAATTGTACTTAGGTCATTCAATAGTCAGTGATACCAGTTTATAGTAATACATAGGTACTTCTCTAAATTTTATTACACCATGGCTTCTTAGCCAATGGTCCATGTATCCCTAGAAATTAGGTATATAATCTAGGCTATGTACATAATTTCATTAGATTTGCAAAGGAAACTGTAACCTTACCAAAAGTTTGAGATCATTACTCTGAAAGGTACCTCCAAAGCCTTTCTTTTTTTTTTAATTTGAGTATTTTTTTTATTAAGGTATCATTGCTATACAATCTTATGAAGGTTTCACGTGAGCAACACTGTGGTTACAACATTCACCCATATTATCAAATCCCCCCCAATACCCCATTGCAGTCACTGTACACCAACATAGGATGCTATGGAGTCACTACTTGTCTTCTCCATGCTATACTGCCTTCCCCATGATCTCCACCACACCATGTGCACCAATCATAATACCCTCAATGCCCTTCTCCCTCCCTCCCCTACCCCTCCCCTTTGGTAACCGCTAGTCCCTTCTTGGAGTCTGTGAGTCTGCTGCTGTTTTGTTCCTTCAGTTTTGCTTTGTTGTTATACTCCACAAATGAGTGAACATCTTTTAAAATTATCTTTGAATTTTATCTCATAGGGAAATTTTTAAAATAATATGGCACAGAAATTCATGCTATTTGTCAAACAGTAATGGATGTGGGAAGATTAAATGCATAGATTGTAAGGCATAGTGGCTGCTACTCAAATTGCTCAAATCATCATTATACTAATCATCCCCATATACTGAATGCTTACTATATGCCAGGCATCATACTAAACTCTTAGGATAAGGTATTGTATGAAGGGAGAGGGAAATACTTCCCCATTTCTGGTGACATAACAACCTCTGTCCCCTCACCTACTACTACTCCCTTTCTGCTGAGAAAGAGCTATTGGCAGGAACAACCATTTGCTTTGTTCCTTCAGCCATAAATTTAATAGGGGCAGGCTCTACCTGGTCTAGCACTTTCATAACTGGATGGGTAAGTCTGTTTAATTCTAAGTTTCAAAATTAGGAAACATACTTGACTGCAGATATAAGCCCATTTCTCAAACATCAGCTTTGTTAGTTTCATAAGGGTGGTATTTTGGTCTCTACCTGCTGACTCTTAAATAATTTCCCTTCTGATCTGGAACCCATGAAATTGCAACACATCAGTGACAGATACTCCTAGTTGTCAACTTTATAGCCCATATTCCCTTCTTTCTTTATAACACCCAACTAAAAGACTATATCCCCCAGCTTCCTTTAAAGCTAGGTATGACCACGTGAATAAGTTATAGCCATTAAGATTTAAACCAAAAGATTGTTTGTTATAAAGAAAGTTTCTTTAAAGGAAGATGTGCTCCTTTTACCTTTCCCACCTACTCCTTCCTGCTGCTTAGGATATGAACTGATGGGTGGAATTCTCATAGGCATCTTGGATCACAAAACAACCTTGAAGACAGAATCCCTGAGCTAAGAACGATGAAATGGGAAGGGAACGAACCTGGGTCCATGATACACTGTAGAGCTGCCATACCACTCCTGGACAGCCAGGCTTCTCTTATATGCAGAGGTAAAAGAAGTAGAATTTCCACCTTGTTTAAAACACTGTTATTAGAAGCTCTGTTATTAGAAGTTCTCATTCCTATTTAATGCAACATTATTATGTCCATATTAAAGATGAGGAAACTGAGGCTCAGATCAGTCTAAGCAAGCCATCCTCATTTACAAATCTAGTAAAACATACAGCTGGAATTTTAATCTAGTCCTGTATGATTACACTATATAAGGAAAACTATGTATTAACTCCTGAGGTACAAGGCCTAAAACTAAAAAGAAAATAGTTTTAAAATTCTGTTTACATTTCCTGTTAACATACTAGGTACACTGTTTCCAAAGACTGACTCACAAAAGAAACAGAGTCCACATACTTGCCCAAAGCAAACTGTGTGTATGTGTGTGTGTGTGTGTGTGTGTGTGTGTGTGTACACATTTTTTTTAAATTAAGAAATCTACCTGATAATCAATGACCACATTCTTCTTGTTCCTGGTATAATGGTATAAAGTGCCCTCCTTTGGGTAAAAATTTGTTTTTAATTAATGTTAACAGGATGCTAAAGTAAGTTTTCACTGAAGATTAATTCAACAAAGAACAGGTTTTAACAGGACATATAAGACCCTAATGTAAAATTTTCAGCAGATATAGTTAAAAACAATACCAAAACAAACAAAAAGTCAGGATGTCTGCCCATGAAGGGGTAACTACAGGACCTGTTTCCCCACCATAAACTAGAAACCCAAACAACATGTATGAACACCTGTCTGGGACACTGAACAACAGGCAGCACAACCCTCCAAGCACAGAGAAAGGGAACGGATGAGGTGAGCCCTATGAACTGCACTTTCTGACTGAAGGCAATTTCTGGACTGCAACGCAGGGTGGAAAAAAACCTAATGGCCTTGCAGTCTTACTGAGTTAAGAAAGGAGTTATACTGGGAAAAAACTCCAGAAATCTGCATGGAGTCCCCTTGAGTCTCTAACTGAATACCAATCTGTTCGTGCATAGGGTGAAACTCCACAAAGACACACAAAGAAGAGTAGTTGCTGGGGGAAGAGCAATTACTGGGATGCTGTATAAGCTAAATAATTCCCACGGGTCACACAGGGCAGGGAATCTTAGAGTTCCCAACAACCAAACGGGTGAGCCAAATAGCTCTTCAAATATCTAGGACATTCGAGATCCCAGAAGGGGCAGGCCTTGGTACACCATAAGG